ATTTTAAATAACACTGCAAATGGACAAAAGGGTGCATATATATTTTTGAATAGTATTTTGGGTTTCTTCAAATATCTTAAGAGTGAAAATGCTGGGTAATAAGATGGTTCTATTTTTATTTTCTTAAATCTTTACTGTTGAAAGTCTGGCATGCGTCCCCTTTTTTTTGCTCATTGACCCTTTCTAACCTGTCCCCACGCCTCACCTGAGGACTAAACCAAACTACTGTCCCCATCCATGGGTTATTCATATATGCATAAAAGTTCTTTTGTTGTTCTCTTCCCACCCACCCTGCTCCCCGCCTTCCTTCTAACAATCTGCAGTCTTTTCCATGCTTCTATGACTCTGGATCAATTCTGTTCATCAATTTATTTGATTCATTCAATTCCACTTATTTGATACTTATATGATGCTTGTCTTTCTCTGAGTGACTAATTTCACTTAGAATAATACTCTCCAGGTCCCTCCATGCTGTCTCAAAGGGAAAGAGATCCTGCTTTTTTACTGCTGCATAGTATTCCATGGTGTAGATGTACCACAGCTTTGTATCCACTGTCTGCCGATGAGCACTTGGGCTATTTCCAGGTCTTAACTATTGTAAACTGTGCTGCTATGAACATAGGGATGCATACATTCTTTATAACTGGTGTTTCAGGTTTCTTAGGATATATTCCTAGAAGTGGAGTTACTTGTTCAAATGGCAGTTCCATATTTAAGTTTTTGAGGAAATTCTATACTGCCTTCCATAATGGCTGCATCAGTCTGCATTCTCAGCAGCAGTGCACTAGAGTTTCCTTTTCTCTGCATCCTCACCAGCACTTGTCATTTGTTGATTTGTTGATGGTAGCCATTCTGACAGGGGTGAGATGATACCTCGTTGTCATTTTAAATTGCACCTCTCAAATGATCAGTGATTTTGAGCTTTTTCATATGTCTCTTTGGCCATCAGTATATCCTCTTTGGAGAAGTGTCTGTTGAGGTTCTTTGTTCATTTGTTAATTGGATTGTTTGTCTTCCTATTGGTAAGTTGTATGACAGTTTCAGTATTGCTGTCTATCTCTCCTTTAAAGTCCTCTAGAAATTATCCTAATATATAAAAAGCCAGGGGCCATCTCAATTGAAAAACAGGACGGATAACCTGAAATAGGATGAATTCAAATGCTAAGCAAAGTTACAGGCAGAACTTCCTTTTTTTTATTTTTATTTTTATTAAAGAGCCAGTCCTATATGCACTTAGTGGTTATCTCGATGCTGGCCTTGAAAACAATGCTATTCTATCCAATTGAGAAGGTGCACCTGGCATGGTATTGAGACTGTGGGCATATCTGGTCTCTGGTCTACAAGGTCAGACAGCTGAGTTTATCTTCATTCTTCGAAAGGGGCTAAAGCAAACTAGAAAGCAACATTTTATCTAAGAAGAACAGCAGAAAATTCCAAACAACAGTTTGTTGCAAAATAGGGGTTTTCCTTCTCAGAACCTTTAAAAATAACCACCTGCCCCTAAAGCGGCACAGTGGTTTGGAGTCCGCCTGCATGCGGTGCTCTTGCGGCTGCCTGGCCAGATATTTCAATAAATCTTTGCCTGCTTTTTTTTTTTTTAATAAATCATCAGCCTCCGGTGGCCTTATTTTGAACCCAGGGTTCAACCCCACAACATAACCGAACAACAGGCTGTGTGGAACAACCAGGCCAGCAGCGGGGATGGTGAGGGACAACCAAACGGCTGAGCAACAGGCTGTATGGGGCGTTGATGAGGGACAACCAAATGATTGAACAGCAGGCTGCATGGGGTGACCAGGTCAGCAGGGGCCAGTTGGAGGCAAGTTGAGATGCAGCAGGTATACTGTAAGCTTCCTGAAGTATACAATAACTTTCAGCAGCACTTTTCTTCAAAATAATGAATTAAAACTTCCTGCAAATGCTCTTTTTTTGGCAGGAAATTCAACACTTTTAAGTGTAAAAATATCTGTGATGTTAACACCTTCAGAAAATTTGACTTTTGAAGTTTTGAAGCTTGCTGTCAATATAACAAAATAGCATACATATCAAATGCTTATTATATATATCAACATATGTGTAACTCCATCTATTTAAAACTCCACATTATTAACTGGTATACTTAGTTTTAGGTGTATTGGATAAATAAGTATTTCTAATGGTTATATCCTCTTGGATTGATATCTTGGTCTTTATGAAAAGTCCTTCTTTGTCTCCTATTATATCCTGTTTTAAAACCTATTTTGTCTAATATTAAGTATTGTTATCTTAGCTCATTTTTTAAAATTTTCATTTCCATGAAATTTATTTTTCCATCCCTTTACTTTCAGTCTGAGTATGCTTTCTGGGTAGCTCTCACCTTTCTGTACTCTGACCTGCAGACTCTTGCCTCTCTGGGGTCTCCAGACCTCCAGGTCTGTTTTTTCAACTGAGGCAGTCTAAGGGGCTCAGTCTGGGTCTCCTCCCTGAGCTGCAGCTTAGGAAAGAACTCTCCCTAGACAATAAGCAGGGGCTCACCTTCAGTTTTGTGCCCCTCATCCTGCCCCGGGATCCCTATCTTGTGCTGTTCCATGTCTAATATTTGAAAATGATGTTTCAAGTTTTTTGTCAAATTTTCAATTGTTTTAGGTGGGAAGATATATGTGGTCTGTTACTCCACCTTGGTTGGCAGTAAAAGTCAGATTTGATAAATCTTGTTACCAAACTGGTAATGGCTGATAGTTCTCTCAGAAGTAACCATGACCTGACCTTCAGCTTCTCTGGGAGCCATCCCTTCATGGATCCACTCTGATCACTAGTTGTCCACCTGGCAGGAGTGCTGGTAATGCAGAATGGAAACCCCCACAAAAGAGTGCTCTTATGCTTAGCCTCTAGGTCAGTGGTCGGCAAACTCATTAGTCAACAGAGCCAAATATCCACAGTACAACGACTGAAATTTCTTTTGAGAGCCTAATTTTTTCAAATTAAAACTTCTTCTAACATCACTTCTTCAAAATAGACTCAACCAGGCCGTGGTATTTTGTGGAAGAGCCACACTCAAGGGGCCAAAAAGCCACCTGTGGTTTGTGAGCCGCAGTTTGCCGACCACAGCCCTAAGTGATGTAGCATATGGCAGAATGGAAAAAAGATTTCCCCCAGTGGGGGGAAATGTCAGTGAATGACATTTGTACATAGGCAAAGAACCCAGGGTGGCAACTCTGTTTTCGCTATAACCATTACAGTTTTACGGAGAGGATCACAATATTTGGCTGGACTTGACACTGATCTTCTCCATTCGATATACATTTGGGTGCTAGGCACTGTGTCAGGGAAGGCTTTCTTTGCCTCCAGTACACAATCTTCTCTTCAGATGCTCCTGGCTCCCACAGCCTTCCCGCGGTTTGGAAGCAGACCTGCGAGAGAGGAGCATCTGGATGTCTGCAGACCACTCTCACCCAGAAAGGCTGAGTCACATGCTTGGAGGGTCACTTGTTATTTCCTAAGGTCCCAACACGGCTGCTGGCTGACAGGCTCTGTGCCACTGTTGGCTCTTTGAGCTCTCCAAGTCCCTCCAGGGCAGTTTGAAGTTTTAATTTCTGTAGCAGCGTCACCCGGAGCCTTTCCCATCTCTTCCCTTCACCAGCCAGAGTGATGTTCTCTGAATGTAACAGGTTTGTTCTGGTTGACAGAGATGATCAAGGAGGTCTGTGAGGAGGGGGGTACACTTTGAGGATCCCGGGTCCTTAGGACCGCGGGGGTTTCAGGTTCTCCGCCACATACTTTGGCTGTGTGCAGAGGGCAGCTGATCAGGGTACTGACAGGGAGAGAACCTGGGGAAGAGTGCAAGGGAGGAACTGCCAGCGGAAGGGAAGGTGGGGTGCACAGCCCTCTGCAGGTCAGAGTGTATACTAGTTGTGTGATCCTCCAGCAAAGTCCCTGTAATCTCCTTTTGAAGGGCTTCTCTTACCTGTCCCTGCACCTGACTTGACAGAGCCTGGGGCATCCTGCCCGACGACAGCACTACTGTCACAGTCTCTCACCCAGAGCACTGACGTGTTTCTCAACTGCGCTTCTCAGCTTCCCCACGTGCAGGGCCCTTGCTGCTCTTGAGACCAGCTAATTAAGAGTTACTTTTTGTCCCTCTTACCTATTTATAATTGATGCTACTTCCCCTTATCATTATTTTAAAAAAATAATATTTTTATTGATTTCAGAGAGGAAGGGAGAGGGAGAGGGAGAAAGAGAGAAACATCAACGATGAGAGAGAATCATTGATCGGCTGCCTCCTACACGCCCCACACTTGGGGATTGAGCCTGCAATCCAGGCATGTGCCCTGACCAAGAATCAAACCGTGACCTCCTGGTTCATAGGTTGACACTCATCCATGAAGTCACAGGGCCAGGCTCCCATTATTTTTATATAGTGCGATCATGTCTCCTCCCTCAACAGATAAAGTTATAAAGCTATTAGAGAATAAAAGAGCAACAAAGGAGAGCGGGGAAATGGACTTTAGATAATGTCAGTAACAACATGATTTGGCAGACGGGTGCAAAGAAACCCTACATCTCAGTGCTCCAGAGAAGGGCCAGGAACTGGCCCAGCACCAGTCGGACCCGCCGCCTGTTTTGGTAAACGGAAGCTTATTGGCACACAGTCACATCATCTGTGCACAGCCTGTCTGCTTTCCTGCTACAACGGCGGCGGTGGGAGCAGTTATGACAGAGAACATATGACTCGTGAAGCCTAAAATATTTACTGTCTGGTCCTTTATAGAAAAAGTCTGCTCATGCCTACTCAGGAGACAAAGATATTAGAAGTCTAATTCTGATGGAAAAATTCTGAATTCTGACTTGGCAGAAATACTGAAGCACAGATTCCTTATATCACATGTGATACTTCTCAAAGGCTGTTGCTGAGGCATAGAGGCAATTATTAGTCAATTTTCAGATATAAAAATTCTGTCACCATTCACTCGGAATTTGTTTCGTTCTCATTCTAGAAACTAGATGGTGAAAACGCAAGCATGCAGTTTGCAGGTTTGTCTTGTGTTTTTCTGCTTATCATTTTTCAAACTGACTTGGGACAAAACGAAGAAAGTCCCAGGAAGCAAAGGCGGAAGATGGACTACAAAAGACTGAAGAAAAGTTCTTCGCCTAACCACAGGTCCAGCGGACAGCCCAGAATTCAGCAAACAATGGTGGTGACGCCAGTGGCGGCTCTTCCCCTGGTTAACTTGGATTCTAGCACTGAGGAGAAGTTTGAATCCTTTTTAAGTTTTCATGGAGTAGAATCAAGCTACAATGTGCTACCAGGTAAGAAAACAGAACTAAAGAGAGAACGAGAAAGAGAACCTCCATGAAAATAATTTTAAAAAATTAAACTTATCTTTTGGTTTAATCTATGAAGATATTTTAAAATAATTTTAAAAATCATGCATAGAATCCATTTATAAAAGTTTTGGAAAATAGATAAAGTAAATAGTTGTCCTACACTATATTTATAAAACCACTCGAGGCCTGGTGCATGAAAATTCATGCCCTGGAGGGGGCTCCCTCAGCCCAGCCTGCCTCCTCTCACAATCTGAGAGCCCTCAGGGGCAGGAGGAGACCCGGCGATCATGGGAAGGCGATGCCCCATCACACCGCTGCTGCTGCCACTGCCTGCAGCGCCTCGGCCAGCCTTGGTTACTGAGCCTCGGGTGGCCTTGGGCAGCTGGGCAGTTGCCATCCGAGTCTTGCCTGCACCTTGGGCTGATCCTGGGCAGCTGGGGGACTGAGGAGACGGGGGCACTCCAAAGGTAGGCGCCCCAGCGGGGCTGAAGGGACTGGGTGCCGCCATCTTGTGGCTGTGGGCGCCGCTATTTTTGAGAGCACGACAGTCAATTAGCATATTCCCTCCTTATTGGCTGTGGGTGCTGCCATCTTTACAATGGTATGAGGATCAAATAGCACATTCCCTCTATGTTAGATAGGATAGTTACTATTTTGTTTTATTTCTTTCTAGCCTGTTTACTATGCAATGTATTTTAGTTATAATCATAAAGTTAACATACATATAAATTTTAAAACTGCTTTTTAACTTTCTATATTACCTAAGATATAGAAATAAATGATTCAGATGGTTCTATAAAAATGGATATTAATTTTAAATAAAAATTTTTCAACAAAAGATAGAATTAAGCTGTTTTATTTTATATAGACTAAATTACTTAAGTTTTTATAATTTCATTAAAATTTTTCATTTATTTCAGAAAGGAAGGGAAAAGGAGAGAGAGATAGAAATATCAACAATGAGGGAGAATCACTGATGTTTCTGCAGGCCCCACACTGGGAATCGAGCCCACAACCCAGGCATGTGCCCTGATACTAGGAATCAAATCGTGACCTTCTAGTTCACAGGTCAATGCTCAACCACTGAGCCATGCCAGCAGGGCTAAATTACTGAATTTTTAAAGGTTGGAAAGATTGGAAATTCTGCCAAATATTTCAACTAGTCATTTTTAAGAACACTTTAATATAATGATTTCAAAGTCCTCATTTTTGCAGATTTAGGAAAAAAGTAATTATATTGTACATATTACCTTTACATGAAATTTCAAAAGACATAAGAAAATAATGCCACATAATATTCTGTGGCCAAAACTTCATATATTATCTCAAGGAAACCAAATGCTTCTACATGATGGATGGTATTTCTACAGTTAACAGAAATAAGAAAATGTCCATGAAAATATACAACTTAGATCACAATCACAGCATGACTGGGGCAAGTCAGAGGCACGATGCTGACACTGTCCCAGCTGCTCAAGTGTGAGGAACCCTGTCCCTAGCGATAGGAAGCGCAGTGGTGGAGAGCAGTGTGCGTGATGAGATCTCAAAGCTGCTTACAAATATGTAATGGAGGCAAGTTTGCATAAAAATGCATACATGTATATAAACATTTCTCAACTGTCCTAAAATGCTTTCCAGTGGTTTTATAGCACTTTTTAAAAAACTGCAGCTAAATGAAATAATATAAAACTTACCATTTTAACATTACATCATGTACAATTCAGTGGCATTCAGTAAACTCACAATGCAGTGTAACAGTGATCATTATCTAGTTCCCGATCAAAAGGAAACCCCCCCCTAACCTAGCCCTGGCTCTAAACTGTCTCTAAAGTTTCCAAACTCTGGATACTTCATATAAAAGGAGTCATCTGCAGCTGTTTGTGCCTGGCTTCTTCCACTTTAGTATAAAGATTCCCAAGATCATCCATGTTGTAGCACGTGTCAGTACTTCATCCTTTATTATGGATGAATAATATTCTATTATATTTTGTTATATAAAGAGACTACATTTTGTTTCCCCATTCATCTGCTGATTGACATTTTGGTTGTTCCTAACTTTTGGCTACTGTGAACAGCACGCTATAAACGCCTGTGAACAAGTTTCTATTTGAACTCCTGTATTCAATTTTCTTGGGTATATACTTATAAGTGGAACATGGGGTACCAAGGAGCTGGGCCATATGGAAATTCTATGATTAATTTATTAAGGAACCACCACATGTTTTCAACAAAGGTGATAGACACCATTTCAAGCAACGTTCAAAGATTCCAATTTCTCTGTACCCTTGCCAACATGTTATTTTTCAATTTTTAAAAATATAGCCATTTTTATGAATGTGAAGTTTTATCTTACTGTATATTTTCCTAATGACTAATGATACTGACCATCTTTTTTATGTGCTTATTGTCCATTGTACAACTTCTGAGAAATGTCTACTCAAGTCCATTGCTCAATTTCTTAATGGGATTGTCTTTCTGTTATTATGAGAGTTCCTTATGTATATTATGGCTATTAGGCCTTTATCAGAGAATTATTTGCAAATATTCTCTGCCATTGTGTATGCTGTCCTTTTACTTTCTTGATCATGTCCTTCAATGCATCAACATTTTAATTTTGTTAAAGTCCAATTTATCTGTTGTTTTTTTGTTGCTGGGCTTTTGGAGTAATATCTAAAAACCCAGTCATGAAAATGTACACTTGTGTGTTCTTCTATGAATATTGCAGTTTTAGCTCTTACATGCATGTCTTTGATCCATTTTGGGTTAATTCTTATATTTGGAGTGAGGGAGGAGACAACCTCATTCTTTGTCTCATGGATGTCCAGCTGCCCAGCACCATTTGTTGAAGAGACTATCTTCCCCCCTACTGAATGGTCTTGGCCCTCTTGTAAAAAATCCTTTGACCAGGGATTAAAAATGGTGGCAGAGTAAGTGGATGCTGCACAGACATGCTCCCAGGAACAAACTGGAATTACAAATAAAACACAGAAAAACTTCCTGAATAATCAACAGAAGACTCAGAGGAGAGAACCTGATGCCCAAGGACCGAAAGTGGAGACCACAGAGAGACTGGTAGGGGGGTGCAGGCACGAAAGGGTTGGCCAGGTGCCCAGAAACAGCAGCTGAAGTTTTGCAGAGATATCCCAGCTTTGTGTGGGGGGGAGGGAGGAGAGAGGGTAGTTAGGGAGGTGCCACTGAGAACTCTGAGGTCTAATACCCAACCTGGGCTCCCCAGCAGAGAGCACCAGAACTGAGAAGGGTGCCTACATAACATCTGGCTGTGAAAAACGGCAGGGTTTCTGTCTGCCAGGGAGTGATGGCTGAAAATTCAGGCACCCTCTTAAAGGGCTGAAGCACAAAATTCCCTGTGGAGTCATTCACCATGTGCTTCGCCAGAGGGAGGGCAGAGAGGACTAGAGCTGTGTGAGCAGAAGCCAGGATTGGGGGCTCTGGGATTACAGCTCAGAATGTAAACACCCCTGTTTCCTGTGCTGAGTCATTCCCTCACACTGCAGAGGTCATCTTTCTCATGAAGACATTTGCCTTGCCTGAGAGGAAGACAGTTGACCCACCCTATTGGAAAACACTTTGCTGTGAGGCCATGTAAAAGACTACAAATAACAATTAGCCTCCAAGCAGAAGCAACTGTCCCACCCTGTTGCCTGGAACCATTCAAGTGGAATCCTATCAATCTGTAGGCAAAGGTAGGCTCTGGAGGCTTAAAGTCTTTGCCTGATATAATTAGAAACAGCATTTGACACTGTCCTGCACTGGAGACTGAGAGGCATATTATATTTACCTAATACACAGTCACAAATCCAAAGAGATAGCCAAATAAGGAGTCAGAGAAACAATCCTAAATGAAAGAGCAACAGAATTCTCCAGAAGAAGAGATAAATGAAACAGGGATAAGAAATTTATATGAAACAAGTTCAGAGTAATGATTGAAAAGATGCTCAACAACATGAAAAAAGGTATAATAACTATGAAAAAAAGAACAGTCGGAAATAAAGAATGACAGAGCCGAGACCGGTTTGGCTCAATGGATAGAGCGTCGGCTTGGGGACTGAAGGGTCCCGGGTTCTATTCTGGTCAAGGGCATGTACCTTGGTTGCGGGCACATCCCCAGTAGGGGGTGTGCAAGAGGCAAATGATCGATGACTCTCTCTCATTGATGTTTCTAACACTCCATCTCTCTTCCTTCCTCTCTGTACAAAATCAATAAAATATATATTTAAAAAAAATAATAATAAAATAAATAAATAAAGAATGACAGAGCACAAATAAAGAACACATTGGAAGGAACACACAACAGATTAGGGAAAGCTGAGGATTGAATCAGTGAATTAGAAGACAAGGTTGAAAAAAATCACTCAATCAGAGAACCGAAAAGAAAACACAATTAAAACAAAAACAAAAACAGGAGGACAGCTTAAGGGAGCTGTGGAACAATGTGAAACATAATAATATTAGAATAGTAGGTGTGCCAGAAGAGGCAGAAAGGAATAGAGAACATGTTTAAAGAAATAATGCAGAAAACGTCCCTGATCTGATAAAGGAAAAAAGTCAAACGAGTTCAGAAGGTACAGAGAACGCCAAGCAAGAAGAACCTGAACAGGCCCATGCTCAGACACCTCAGATACATCATAAGTAAAATGCCGAAAATTAAAGACAAAGAGAGAATCTTAAAGGCAGCAAGAGAAAAGTACTTACTTACAAAGGAGCTCCCATAAGGCTGACATCTAACTTCTAATCAGAAACTCTATAGGCCAGAAGGGAATGGCATGAAGTACTCAATGTGATGGAAAGCAAGGATCTGAGACGAAGATGGAAAGCTGGATCTGAGATTCAGCAAGGCTATCATTCAAAATAGACGCTCAAATAAAGAGCTTCAACAAGAAAGGTATGTCCATTTTCACCACTCTTATCCAACACAGTACTGAAGTCCTAGCCACAGCTATCAGACAAGAAGAAATAAAAGG